GCTTCTAGCAGCTCCTCGCAGAAGCCACCCCGTAGCCCCCCACTAGCAAAACTTTGCCATACAAACCCAACACATACCTTCAGGTGCTGTAAGACCTTTAGCAACCTGGTCCTATTTAACCATCTTAAGGTAAAAGTGTGGTACAAGAATAAGCTGTTGTTTTAACTTGAATGTACCTTTTCTGGCCGTCTAGAGGTTATTGGGGATTTTTAGTTTTATCAGATGATTTCTTCAGGAGTAGGCAGGCATCTTCAATTTCAAAATCTCTCATCTCATTTCCTTCCCCTCTTGCACTGAAAATAAACTTCAACTGCATTTCTAAGTAATACCTCACTCTAAAGAAAGATGATTCCTTTGGAAGATTTTATGCTATTGGTAGACTTAAATGAGCTTTACTATACATGAGTAATTTACCTATATCACCTGCTTCTGCTTTCTCAGAATCGAAGTGGTGCTGCTTTTGCCCTCTATGCTCCAAACTGACATATTTTCCAGCTTGTGTTGGTTTACCTTGATTTCCCGACCAGCTGACATTACCATTTATTTACCAGTAAATCCGATTCCCAGATTTCTAGGTCTGGAAATTTTTTTCATTTCCTTATATCAATATACAAGGGAAAGCTTTTCTAAACTTATTAGATGTCTTTAACTTTCAAGACAACATACCTGGAATTGTAATTGTATTGTTTTCTTCCTTTTTTAAATATCTTCCAAGCTGTAAGACGGGGCTCTTTTGAAATGGTATCCATTCTGATTAAACACAACTGTAGCATCCACCAGCCATGCATAAAACGTTGGTCAGCAATGCATGAAGCTGCAAAACAGGGACGCAAAGACATAGTTGCTCTTCTTCTGAAGAATGGTGGAAATGTGAACCTTAAGGATGGATATGGAGTAACACCATTAGGTGTTGCTGCTGAATATGGTCACTGTGAGGTGCTGGAGCATCTTATTCATAAAGGTATGTAGTCAGGTAAAAGGGAAATACTCTGCACTGGCATATGTCTTGTCTGGTTGCTGAGGTGTTTTAGGGTGGTCAGGGAAAAGGAAAGAAAGAGTAGTGATGAATGAAAAGATTTGGTTTCCTGGAAGGAAGGAAGCATATGTGAGTGTTCCTGCTAGAGTGGAGTGACGCTTACACATTTCCGTCACACGTGTGAGAGGACTGGCAGAGTTGATACCAATCTGTTTCAATCAAGGAAGGACTTACTGCTATACATGCCCTTCTTGCCCTTCTTTATTTCTCTTTACTACTCTTCCCCTCCTTCCCCTCCCTCCCCTCACTTCCCTCCCTCGTACAGAATGATATTGGTATTAATTAATGAAATGAAGTATTTTTTAAATATGCCAAAATTTTGAAAATCCTCTTATAACACGGTCAAAGCAGACCTCACTCAGGTGAGCATTTCAACCTGTATCTGTACAACTTCTGGTTTGCCTTTGAGTTTTAAATTTGCCACAAGAAATATTTCTTGGTTTAGTAAAGTTTTAACTTAAATACATCTGAAAATGAAGAGGAAAGTACTCTGGGCTTGTTTTTATGATGATCTGCAAATCACTTTGGATATAATTATAGATTCTGTATTCTCCTTCAAGGTGGAGATGCCCAGGCCTTAGCAGATGATGGTGCATCGATACTGTTTGAAGCAGCCGGAGGAGGTAATCCAGACTGCATAGCCCTTCTTTTGGAGTATGGAGGAAGTGGTAACGTGCCTAATAAGGCAGGACTGCTTCCCATACACAAAGCGGCTTATGAGGGGCATTACCTGTGAGTATGAGCTTGGACTTTGTATTTTCTTTAACATACAGTGTGGCACAAGGTCACATTGAAGATTACTGTGCTAAACTTGCAAATGTATAGATCATTTGCAAATGTATAGATCATTTATATTTCAGAAGTGCCTGTGTTATGTTAGTTTGAATTAACTTTTAAGTATTTTTTAGCATAAACAAAGCAAAATGCAAAACTTACTCCTTAGAACTAAGTGAAAACCACAGAAACAATTTAAAACACAAGCTCCTATTTGACAGTGCTCAAACCTGGTGTTTCTGTGTTTGGATCTTCTTGTTTAAAGTGTTTAGCTGGTAGTTTAGCATATAGCTGGATGAGGGTCATTTTCTTCATGCAGGGAAGCAATGGCTAACTAGTTTTATTCACTGTTTTTTAGGGCACTGAAGTATCTCATTCCGGTCACATCCCAAACTGCGATCCAAAAAAGTGGGCTGAGCCCTGTTCACTCAGCAGCAGATGGCCAGAACTCACAGTGCCTAGAGCTCCTCATTGAAAATGGTTTTGATGTCAATACTCTCTTGGCTGAACACATTTCAGATAGTTACGATGATGAAAGGAAAACAGCACTTTATTTTGCTGTTTCGAACAATGACATTCTTTGCACTGAAATATTGCTCAAAGCAGGGGCAAACCCAAACAAGGATCCTTTAAACTGTCTTCTTGTGGCAGTGAGAGCTGGCAACCATGAAATTGTAAGGCTGCTCCTATCTTATGGAGCAAACGTCAATTGCTACTTTATGCTGGTTAACGATACCCATTTCCCCAGCGCCATTCAGTATGCTTTGAATGATGAGGTGATGCTGAGGCTGTTGCTCAATCACGGATATAATGTGGAGATGTGTTTTGACTGTATGCATCAAGATATCTTTGGAAATTCTTTTGTGTGGTCAACTCCAGAGGAAGAAATTCTCCCCGGGTGGACTTCTTCTGTAATAAAGGATAATCCAGTAAATACACACCTTCCTTCCTTCTCTTCACTTTCCTCTTTTCATTAGCCAGCTTTAAACATGCCAAGATTACTGTGCAGAATTAAGATTAACGTGCTGGCAAAATCCTTTTTTGAAACACCCTAAAAATAAACCAGCCATTTTTCATTTTCTACTCTGAGATAGATAGAGAAAATTATGTACATAGAGTGGTTTTAGATTGGGGTTCATGTAGTAGAGAATTAGGAAGGAAGTTTTAAGAAATCACGAGGTAGGATTCTGGAATTTCTGTTTCTGTCCTAACCAACACAGTAGATGTGTTTCCAAAGAGATATCACTGTTGAACAAAACAGTACTGCAAATTGTAGCAGGGCTATAATAATTATTGGCCTTCAGGACTCTCCAGACAAATTAAGGGGTTACAAAGGTTAAGCGTGGAAGAAAATGGCTTTAAAGTAACCTACCTAAGCATCAATTTATGACTGTTAAAGGTCATTGCTAATATTTTGTTCATATTATCTTGTGTAATTGCTTTAAAATGTGTTATTTTGGCATTCCTCTGCACAGATTTTGAAGTTATGATTTGATGTGTTTTCCTTTTCAGTTCTGTGACTTTATTGCTGTTCCTTGGTTGAAACATTTAGCAGGAAAAGTGGTTCGTGTTTTTATAGATTACATGGATTATGTTCCTCTATGCACAAAAATTAAGTTTGTTTTAGAAACACAGAAAGAATGGACAGAGATACGTCAGATATTGGGTAAATATCTAACTTCCAGTTAATGATGTTATGATTTCTTGTAGGAGACTTTAATGGCTTATGTCACATCACATTCATCCAAAGTGTTTTAGCAGTCCAAATGCGTACTAGCTAAGAACCAGGTTGTGCCTGTCATCCAGTCCTCAGATTGAGGCAGATCTCTGCCTATTGTCACTGGTCATAAATTAGTTAATCGGACTGGAATATGGCAAACGTGCAGCTGGTGAGAATTAATATCTCATAAGGAATGTCCCTGTTGTGTGGGAAGCCCTTTTAGTTAAGCAAGACCACTGAGATGATACTTCTCAAACTCCTTATTAACTCAAGTGACACTAGTCATTACACAGCTATGGGGCACAACTTTTTTATTGAGGCATATTGCTCACACTTCCAGCCCTCTTTTTACTGCCTTGATCTCTGAAGTCTATTAATTATTCAAGGATTATCGTAAGAGCATATTTTAGATCCCATTGTGTGCAAGGTGGTAGGTGGTGACGAGTGTACCATCACAATCTGTGTGCCATCATTTCCTAACTCTGATTTATATTACGCACATGTAGAGTTGCAATTACTAGTACTGTAATTGACTAATATTTCATATGTATGCTTTATTTTTTAAGTTCTACACATTAGGCTGGACCTTCTACCATTGGTGGCACAAGCAATAGGTTTCACCTACTTTAACTTAAAAAAATCCATTGGGGAATGTATTAAATGTTCTCTTTGTATGAATTAATTTTATTTGACCTTTTATTTTTTAATTTTAAGTAGAATTTGATTTAACATCAGTTGTTAAAAACCAAAATGTTTAGGTTTAAAACTGGTACCCTGTATTTAATTTTGCTTTGATATTTTACACTGGAATGTAGAGGAAATCCTTTTTGTTAGTGTCACAGGAACATTCAAATAATTCGGTAGTCTTAACTACTGATATTTCAAGTATGTTGAAAGTTTTTGTTATCTTCAGGAAGGCTAAATTAAACTGAGGTCTTTGAGTGATGTAAATTCCGATAAGAGGTGTTTGTTTAGAAGACTCAGCAGACTCAAGCATAATAAGGTCTGGTCTTGGTGCCTTTTTGATACAGCAGAAACAGATGGTGCCACGGCTCACCTCAACATGCAGTTTTTAAAAGGTGCACGTAGGAAAAAAATCATTGGTTACCATTGATTATGCTAAATAAAGTCCTGGTTTAGGTGTTCAGATGGGTGCTTTGGAGACAGAGTACAGTGTGCGTATTTCCAAAAGTGAGACAATGATGTTAGGCAGATATCTAGAAGAAGTTTGATTAAAATCAGCATTGTGTATATCACTGCCATTCTGAAATAGAAAGAATGGCATTTTATTCAGAAGTGGCAAAATAGTAATGCCCCAGGGTAATAGATTTTGATACTAATTTTATTAAGGCATGTTTTGGGATTGTGAACAGGCTTAAAATCATTATGAATGGCATTGATTTTTTCCACCATTTCTCTCTCACTAATATTTTTAGATAATCCTCGCCCATTGAAACATCTGTGTCGTCTGAAAATACGTAAACTCTTGGGATTAAGGAGACTCCAGAAACTGTCATCCATGAAGAAGTTTCCACTTCCACCAGTTCTCAAGAACTATATCCTATATAAAGAATATGATCTCTATGGAAAAGGGATACATTTAGAATAGTTTTTTTAAATAACTCCATACAGTCTGTAATTTGACCCATTTCTCTACTATTTTTACTAGCTAAAGAGCTTCTTGGTGTTTTATATTCATTCACAACATTCTGATACTTGTTGTTAATAATTCTTTTATGGGAAAAAATTTTTCTTCAGAACTAGTATAGTAAAGCTAATGTTTTAACACAACATTGTGCTATCCAAATATAGGCTAAAATCAGAATAATGACACTATAATAATTATGTAGAATGGTACGCTTTAAATGGGAATTCAGATGCATAAAGGATAAAAGAAGAATTTTCCTGACGAGCTTCCCAATTAAGATGATAATTACTGTTGCTGCTGTTTGTGGCATTAGTTTATCTGTAAAAGAAAATCTCTAATTTAGCTTGGCAAAGAAAATTAAACCACTAAATGAATGTCTTTGTCATGTAATTGGCCTGAAATTTAGCACATTTTGTACTCTGAAGATCACAGTCCTATTACAAAATTCTCCAAACACTTCCAAGATTCTTTTTAGCTATTTTTGCAAAGTGTTTCCTCCTAAGTATGACTGTGGTGCATGACAGTACTGCATATTCTAATGTTTGGCAAAGGGACTTTATGTAGGCTCTTTTAAAGAAAGAATTGATTTTGATGGACAAACTAACCCAGGAAATTAGCAGCACATCCCCTTAGTTGAGAAATGTTGCCATGTCATAATTTTAAGTGTGGTTCCTACAGAGATTTGACAAATCACTTCTCAGTCAGACTAAACACCCTTAGTCATGCTGTGATGCCCTTGGCAGTATACTTCTGCATATGTCTACAGGAAAACACACCTGATAAAATGTTCTTTAAATTACTCTGAATTACTCTATTAAAAGTGGATTGCGCTTACTCCCTTTACTGTTCTACCATCCCTTCCATCTTGGGGAAAAAAAAGACAAAAAAGGGTCCAAAGCCTCCAAATTCAGAAAAGATTTCAGTTAGTGGATGTCAGGATTACATAGTGCATAGTCATAGTGTGGTGAAGCATGTAATTTAAGAGATGCGCCAGTTATTGCACACAGACACACACACAGACACACCAAAGCATCCTTCTGCCCTGCTTCCTACGCTTCTTATTTGCTGTGTGTCATTGTCATATATAACTTATGAACACCTCAGTCAGAGATGTAAATTCCACTTCCAAAGGCAGCTATTTCAGTCATAGAATTATAGAATCATGGAATGGTTTGGGTTGGAAGGGACCTCAAAGGTCATCTAGTTCCAACCCCCCTGCCATGGGCAGGGACACGCTCCACTAGACCACGTTGCCCAAAGCCCCATCCAAGCGGGCCTGGAACACTTCCAGGGATGAGGCATCCACAACCTCTCTGGGCAACCTGTTCCAGTGCCTCACCACCCTCACAGTAAACAATTTCTTCCTAACATCTAATCTAAATGGACCCTCCTTCAGCTTAAACCCATTACCCCTTGTCCTATCACTCCATGCCCTTGTAAACAGTCCCTCACCATCCTTCCTGTAGGCTCCTTTAGCTACTGGAAGGCTTCAATAAGGTCTCCCCGGAGCCTTCTCTTCTCCAGGCTGAACAAGCCCAACTCTCTCAGCCTGTCTTCATAGGAGAGGTGCTCCAGCCCTCTGATCAGCTTCATGGCCCTCCTCTGGACTCTCTCCAACAGCTCCATGTCTTTCTTGTACTGGGGCCCCCAGAGCTGGATGCAGTACTCCAGGTGGGGTCTCACAAGAGCAGAGCAGAGGGGCAGAATCACCTCCCTTCACATGCTGGCCATGCTGGTTTTGATGTAGCCCAGGACACGGTTGGCTTTCTGGGCTGCAAGTGTGCATTGCCAGCTCATGTTGAGATTTTCATCAATCAACACTCCAAAATCCTTTGTAGGTCTGTCCTTCCTCACGACAAATTTACAGGAGCAAAGAGAAGGAGTGAAAGTTGCTGATCTGGGACATGTAGAGGGTTGGACTGAAGGCTTAATTGTTGCTTCTGCTCTCACTAGGGCTACAATTAATCTGGGTTTCCAAGAGCTGTCCTCCATTTGTTTGCCAGAAGTCTTGACCAGGATGAAAAAGAAGAATTTGGCAATTTGTGCAAAATTTTTAGGTATCTGGCATCTGCACCAGCACCCTGACAGGAGTGACTGTCCCGGATGACTGATGACTCCAGATATGGCCTGAGTGCAGAGTCCCCAGTACACCCAACACAGCTGTCCACAGTCAAGGCTCCACTGACCAAAACATCCTGGACCTACCAGGATAAATGCATGTATGCTGCATAACCTATAAACTGGTATTCCTACGTGAGAATTCCTAAACAGAAATACAGGCTTAATAATAATAAGTCTTAAATAGTGGCAATTTTAATGAATACAGTGTCCACAACACAAGAATCTGGGTAGTCACATATCTGATACAGTATACTGCAACCAGCAAAGGAAACATGATCAAATAGGGCTTTAGACAGGAGATTTTAAACCCTTTCTGTGGCTAGAGCCAAATTCCATTAGTAATTTTAGTTCATGGGCCAAGGTTTATATTTAGGACTTTATACACGCCTCAGGGAATAGTTACATTGCCTGTGGCATCAAAGCATTCAGCTCTAGGACGGAGTATTGCCCCAAGTGTTTAAAGTATCATGGACTAGTCCTTAAAATATCATTAGATAAGCTGAAAAGACATGATAGTATTGTGTTTATCTTTTAAACAATATCTCTGGGCCCTTTTTGTAGTTTGGTAGCCTGTTAGAGAAGGTGGCCCAATCCTGTTTTAAAGCTTTTCTGTCCTTCAACATTGGAGATGTTTATTGAAGACTTTTGTCTCCCCTGGTTGCTAAAGGAAGTACAACATTCTGAGAAAGCATCTTTAATGCTTTCAAGTCATCTGTGAACTGCATGGAGGTGGAAGGGGCAAGACTTTATTTTAAATGGAATATAAAGCAAAATAGATACAGAAAGGGAGCTGTTTACCCCATGTCATGCTTATGGTACAGCTAGGAATTGGGCACAAGTCTTTCGACTCTCATGTTTTGCAGCCAGACCACTGAGTACCACTTCTATGAAGTTGAGTACATGCTGGTGGGACCAAGAAACGTAACTGGTCCAGGACTGGTGATTGTGTGAAACGAGGTGAAGGCAGCAGCTCCAGCTGAAAGATGAAATTGGTAGGGAAAAATTACTCCTTTTTTTTTTTTTTTTTTTTTTTTTCCCCCCTGCTTGGACTATGATTGAACCCTTGCAATGCTGGGATTTAATTTTCTCTGCTATTTGGGTGTGACTTGTGTGGTGTTCCACCGCAACCCAATTCCATGGCATGCCCACCCCATGGAAGATGTTGGCTAGAAGTAATTAAATGCCCTGGCATTGATTCAGGCATGCTCTGGGGTAGAGACTCCTCTCAGTTTGAGGACAATGTTTGAAAGCAGAGGTATCATTTGGTCTCTGTTTCTCATAAAATCTGACACAAGCAGCTGCACCAGACTGATGAGCTCTCTAAGGAGCCAGACATTCAACAGTGGTTACGTCAGCCTTTGCAGCACCAGCGAGATGGACTTTGTAGCTGTAAATGTTTTCATAGCTTGGTGAAACCATAGCCATGAGTTCTCTATATGACCAGCTATTTTCTGTAGGACTATAATGTCGTGTGCCTCCCATAAGACTTCCATGCACTGGCTGCCATTTGACTTGGGAGCTGGCGTGGCAGATCCTTGTTCTGAGTATGGAGGGGGAGCAATTTTACAGTGCAGTCGGTGTTTTGGCTCGAGCTCTTTGTGCCTGAGCTGCCCTTTCTCAGGCTATTGCTCATAGTACAGGAGTCATGCATGGAAAAAACACAGTCACAAAGCTCTTTTGTGTCTACCTTGGGATAGGGCAATGGGATTTTTTTCTGACCCTTACTTGAGGTAGAAAGAGGTTTCTAAAATACCCAACTGTTTATGGTTTGTGTGGAGAAAAGTGGCATAAATTCATGATCACTTATCTCTGTAGAACAGATCTTGTCTCTTTTGCTTTTCCATCGCTCCCTTTAATATGCACCTTATCAACAGTCTCTTGCCCTCACCTCTGTGTGTTCTGTGTAGCCAGCTTTGCCTCCCTGGTGTATGCTGCCTGCTGAATCAGTCCTTTTAAAGCCTCCCCCCTCCCTTTTTTTTTTCCTGTGAGTCTTAGGACAGATAGATCTCTGCTCAGGAAAATGGTACCAAGAAAAGTAATTCCAGCCAAAGTGATTTTTCGGCCTTAATGGCCCTATTCTGGCCTGTTCTCTCCCTGACCTTTCCACTGGAAAGTGTTTGTTTAGGCTGCAGTAATTTAATTAAAACTGGCACCTTGCCACCCAAGGTGTCTATCCTTCAGAGGCCTTTTCTATACCCTGCAGATAATGACCTTGATTCAAAAAATACACCGTCTCAAAATGCATGGAGTAGTCTTCAAAGAAATCCATCCCGATTCTTTACCAGCACAAATGCTGGATAAATCAGAAAGAAGTACATGGGTAAGTGTGCCAAATTACTGTGTAAATATTTAAAGGTATATATTGCAATGGGAAATTCAATGCTGAAATGCTCTCTTAAGTGTCAATCACACCAGCAAAGGAGGTACTTAAATCAGGAGAAATAGTCCCTGAGGAACTTGTGGTTCACGGTTGTTCTGAAAAGCTGTAAAAATATATTAGTAAATTTTTAGTAGTCATAAGGCTGATATAACAGTGTAGCTCTGGTGACATGTACAATATATTTACATTTCATTTCCAAAATTCACATTTTCATTAGAACTCTCTACATTTGATCGGGCAAAGTTGATCAAATGTCTTTTTTTTGCGTATTATGTACATGGTAGACATGGTGACCAGAAGTCCCATCATCATTAATATGGACTATTTAAAAACCAGGCATAAATAAAGACAATAAACTAGAGAATTTACTTAGTACTGCTGCTTGTATTTAATTCCCTGTGAATCACATCAGTTGTTTATATTGCTGGGATCTGCTTTTTAAAAAAATCTTCATAAACAC